CGTGGCTCTGCCAGGGCAGGGAGGACAGCATTGGGGGGCTGCAGGCACAGATCTGCAATGGGCCAGGTGCTCCTCTGACCTCAGGAGCCTGGCTGGCGGGGATCTCATCCATCCTGGCTGGGGAGAATGCAGGTGGACAGGGAAGAGGCCTGGGAAGGGGTGTGTAAACTCAGAGGCCTGGGAAGGGGTGTGTAAACTCAGAGGAGAGGGGTGGCTCGGACTCGGCGTGGCGTGCGGCTCTGCCAAGTTGACGGATGGGCAGTGTGATGGCAGGGGCTGCCCTTGAGGCTGCATTTACAGAGAAAGCCCAGGCTTCCCTATTGTCTTTATTGCTCAACAGTACACAGGTGGGAGGGTGTCCTGGAGCCTGGGTGGCCATCACCCAGACCTCTCTCAGGGAGCACACCCTTGGAAGTTTCAATTCTGTGCTTATTTTGTGCTTATTTTAGGTGTGATTGCCAAGGGGCTGCTAGAGATTAAGGGAAGCCGCCCTCATTTGCTCCCCCGGTACCGCCACCTCACCATTGCCACTGGCGGGAGGGGCTTAGGAATGTGCCATGTACGTAACATAAAGTGGACCACTTTAATTGTTATAAGTGTGCCGTTCGGTGGCATTAAGTACATTCACGTTGTTGTGCAGCCATCCCCACCATCCGTCTCCAGGACTCTTTTCATCTTCCTGAACCAAACTCTGTCCCCATTAAAAAGTAACTCCATTCTCTTCTACCCCCAGCCCCCGGTAACCACCATTCCACGTTCTGTGTCTATGAACTTGACTGTTTAGAGACCTCATGTAAGTGCAGTCATAGAGTAAATTTGTCTTTCTGTGACGGGCCCATTTCACTTAACATGGCATCCTCAGGGTTCATCCACGTTGCAAGCAGGTATTGGAATGTCCTTCCTTTCTAAGGACGAGTGATATTCCATTGTATGGATATATGGATAGACCACATTTTGTTTATCTGTCACCCATCGATGGGCAGGTGGGTTGCTTCCACCATTTGGCTCTTGTGAATAGTGCTGCTGTGAACTTGGGTGTGCAAATATCTGTTCATGTCCCTGCTTTCAATTCCTTTGAGTATATACCCAGAAGTGGGATTGCTAGATCATATAGGAATTCTATGTTTAATTTTTTGAAGGATTTTTTTAAACCAGTGTCGTCCTTGAGGTGTAAGAAGGGGATGTGACCTGGGCACCGACTGGGGACCCCACCCCACCCCCGCCGAACCGACCCTTTTCCTTCTGCTTTTTTGGAGAGGGGGGTGGGGGCTGCCTTTTTTCCTTGCATTGGAGGATGGATTTTAGATTTGCAGAGTGCTTGGCTGGAGGCTGCTGAGCCAACTTGCCTGGAGAGGAGGTTTCAGATTTCACTGTGCAAAGCTTTTTCCACACTAAGCCAGGAGCTGTGACTCAGCCTCGCTGCCCCCTCCCC